TTGTGGCTGGATCCATTGGTCACAGTTCCAATAAGCTTACATGGGGAGTATCAGAAATGGAACAGATTCTTAGTAAAGTAAGCAGTCAGCATTCTCAACACTCACAAATGGCAGTTTAGCATAATTCTTCATATAGTGGGTCATGAAGACTCTGATAAAGGGGATCATGAAATACCTCTACATTTGGCACAGGGACCTTATTCCTATGAATGCAGCATTAGCCATGCCATGCAAAAAAGTAGATATTTTAAGTGCTGTATGAATAAGGAAATCTGGATCCCCCCCCTCCAACCCACTCATCGGCTAAAAATTACATATAAGAGCATTTTGGCGAATACATACAATATAAGGTGAGAGGAAATCAATTCTGTGCCCATGTACAGCCTTGGGTTATCTTAGCAAACTATGACCCAATTAAAGTCACCTGTGCTGACTGCTGCTTCACAAAGATGACTATGATCAATATGCAATGACCAATGACATGATCAAGATTGCTTGTACCTATGTTGAATACTGCATGCATTTCACATGCAGGGTATTATGATTACAGATGTCTTCAACCTGTACTGTGTAAGTGCTGATTAATGTAATTGTCCCTTGAAAGGCCTCACATCAATAACAAGTAGATCCCAATTGCTTGGATCAGGATAAGCTACTTACTCTGCCCACTCATGGTGTGGTCATAGCCATTTTCAATTTGCATTGCACATTTCTGATTTGCATGAAGATGGAAGGCATGGTCATGATGGCAGACTGAGTCACAGACTCCGCTGGGTAATGAAGGGGCTCCCCTGAACTGACATGGTTCTTTCTTCCTTGCACTCCCCATTTCAGTACTGACATACCACTTATTTCCACCCATTTCTTTCATTAACTATTTCTTCTCCCAACATTACCTTTGAGCACTGGCCGTACAACTTCGTTGTGTCAAACATGCTGCTGCACTGTATGCCCATCAAAGCCAGGCTGGTTGTTTGTAATCATTAATGACCCCCCCTCACCCAGTACCCAGGTCCTCCAGTGCACTACTGTCTCCCAACTTTATACGTTGTTGAGTTTGTCCCGTCACAATTACTGTCACCTCAGCATCCAGCATGCCGCCTCCAATCCCAACGATTGACTTGCCTAGCTTCTGACTCAACAGTGGTGTCCCCTTGACCTTCCTGAGCTGATCTCCAGGTCTCATTGCGACCTTGGATAGGCAGCCATAATGAATGATCAAACCCCTGACTGATCTCTGTGCAGCTCCACAATTGATGTACCATGAATAGCTGTACTGGTTACACTGGACCTGCAGAATTGTCGTGGCCCCACTCCATGGACTGCAGTGAGATGGAATCCCAACACAGACTATTCCAAGCAGCTGACTCAGCTGACTGAGGACAGATGTTGCCTTTGATTGACTGTGATGGGGTTCCTTGACTGATGACAGTCCCCCTTGATGTCACCAAATACTACTTTAGATTTGGACACATGGTCATTTGGTTGAAGTACATTCAGTGTGTTTTTCGTGTTAGCTTCTGGATGTGCTGTAGGTATGACATTGATGAAGTATGGTCCATGCATCCCTTTGATTAATTACTGCTGACAACAATGACAATGTACCAAACCCTGTGTGTGCAGTGTACGTCAAGGTAAGACAGAAGTACCGTGAGCCTTTAAATTCTGAACAAGAGTGTAAAGTGCAAAAAGGCAAGGCAGAGATGCTGTGAGCATCCAAGTAGGAAGCCCTCAGGTGCACCTCGTCCAATACCTGAGATGGGTACTTGTTCCAGCATTCAAAGTGCCCTGATAGCTGCATTAAAATGAAAGTTGCCAATGTGCTCTGAAATGCAGCACTGATTTGGAGAAGTGTATTCTAGGTGAGTCAGAAATGTCCATGACGATATGGTTGGTTGGTGCATGTCAATGCCACCTCCATGAATAGGGCGTGCAGGTAATATATCCTGAAATCCAAGATGGAGCCACAGAGGATCAAGGGACAACGTGGAGGCACCAGCAATGTGCTGTGATTTTCATGTCGATGTTACCACTTCCTAGTTTCTACCCAGAGCAAGGAAGAGTAGAATACTGCATTTCAATGAGTTGAGATTAGCTGCTAATGAGGTATAAATGCATACTGCATCAGTATCCCTTGCTGATCACTAGTGAGATTCTTGACTTGCCATTCAAAACCTGGTTTCTCAACCAAGAAACTAACTTTTCCAAATTTGCCATATTTCCAAACTGACTCACAATGCCTACCTCATTTAGGGCTGGGAAAATTCCGCCCATATGAATAGGTTTAGGCCAATCAGCTTAAAGAGCCCATCCCACCATTCTAGATCATGGCTAATCATCTCCTCAATGCTACTTTTCCACACAGTTTCCAAATCCCTTGATGTCATTAGTCTCAAGAACCTTATTGATTTATGTCTTGACTTGCTGAATGATTGATCTTCTACAGCTCTGTGGGCTAAAGAATTACAAAGTGTCACCACATTCAGTCTTAAATGGCCTGCTCCTCCCATCTTGAGACTATGTTCCCTGATTCTACAGTCACCAGTTAGGGGAAACATCCTATTTCTATTCACCCTGTTGTGCCCTGTAAGAATTTTGTAAGTTTCAATGAGATCACCCCTCATTTTTCAAAACTCTAGAGAATACAGACTCTTTAAGCATCTTCATTTACATTGAATGCCAACATGCCACGTGCCTTCTCGATTGCTTGCTGCATCTGAATGCCAGCTATTGTGATTGATAGACAGGCATACCAGGTCGCTTTAAACAACTGCTTTCCCGATCTCTCGCCATTTAAGAAATATTCTGCTTTGTGTTTTTTTTAAACCAAAGTGAATATCTTCACACTTATTTACATTATATTCCAACTTCCAGCCCATTCACTTAGCTTGTCAATTCTTTTGAAAACTCCTTGCACCCTCCTCATGACTTATGTTCCTACCCAGTTTGGCATCATCAGCAAATTTGGAAATATTACAATACACACCACACCTATTAATCATTTATGTAGATTGTGAAAAGTAGTGGAGCTAGTACTGATCCTAGCAGTAACCCAACAGTAACAGGCTGCCAACTTGAGAATTATCCACTCATTCCTGCTGTCTGGCTTTTGACTATTAACCAATTCTCAATTCATACTAGTATATTCCCCCAATCCTGTGCACTCTAACTTTATTTACTAACTTCCTGAGCGGGAACTTATCAGAAGCCTCCTAAAAATATACCATAACTACTTGTTTGTTTGTTATGCAACGAATGTAAAAAATATCAAGAACCTATCAGATTATGAAAATGAACAGAAAAACTGAAAATAAGCGTGGAATGAAAAACTTCATTCATATAACACCTTTATTGATTTGGGAATCCCAAAATGCTACACAGCTGATGAACTACTTTTTAAAAATCACAGTAACTATTGCACAACAGGAAATGCAGCAACCAAGTTAAACATAATAAGCTCCCATGCAATATAGTGAGGGCCAAAAACCAATTTTGGTGTTTTTGATTAAGAGATCAATACTAACTGAAACATAACAAATTGCTCTTTGAATAAATAGTGTCACAGGATGTTGTAGTCTCAGTCTAATGTCTCATTTAAAAACATTAAAAAACATTGTGACAATGGCACAATCCCGGCACTGCACTGGAGGGTCAGACTAGCATTTTTGTGTTCAAGTCACTGCAGAGGAATTATGGACCTTTTGATAACCTTCTGACTCAAGAAGTGAGAGTGCTTTTTTATTGACACCAGAAAAATGGAAAACCCTGGAAAGACTGGGCAAGCCACTGAGCATCCAACTCGACGGGAAAGACAACAGGTGAAGGTTTTTGTTTTCCAGCTGAAGTGTTAATCTGGTTTCAGAACTTCTGAAGAAGACATACTTGAAAGGGTTCAGAAAATATTTACAAAGATGTTGCCAGGGTTGGAGGGCCGGAGCTATTGCGTGAGGCTGAATAGGCTGGGGCTATTTTCCCTGGAGCGCGGAGGCTGAGGGGTGACCTTATAAATCATGAAGGGTATGGATAGGGCAAATAGACAAGGTCTTTTCCCCAGGGTGGGGAGTACAAAACTAGACAGCAAAGGTTTAAGGTGAGAGGGGAAAGAATTAAAAGAGATATAGGGTGCAGCTTTCTCATGCGTGGGAAGAACCTGTATGGAATGAGCTGCCAGAGGAAGTGGTGGAGACTAGTACAATTAGATTTAAAACGCATCTGGACGGGTACAATGAATAGGAAGGGTTTAGAGGGATATAGGCCAAATGCTGGCAAATGGTACTAGATTAATTGAGGATATCTAGTTGAGTTGAACCAAAAGGTCTGTTTCTGTGCTGTACTTCTTTATGAGTTTATGACATACTGGGCTTGAAACATTAACTCTGTTTTGCTCTCCAAAAATACTGCCAGACCTGGGTTCTGAGGAATGGTCACCAGAACGGAAATATTAACTCTGATCTTTTCTTCACAGATGCTGCCAGATCTGCTGAGCTTTTCCAGCAACTTCTGTTTTTGTTCCTGATTTACAGCATCGCAGTTCTTTCGGTTTTTATACTGCCAGACGTGCTGAATTTCTCCAGCACTTCACCTTCTTAATACAAATGAAACAAAGAACGACGGATTCTGGAAACCTGAAACAAAAATTTAAAGTGACTGGGGAAATTCAGCAGGTCGGTGAAGAAAGAAACAGAGTAAATGTTTCGAGTCCAGTGACCACTCTGTTCTCTCTCCACAGGTTCTGAACAAGGATCGCTGCACTCGAAACTTCAAGTCTGTTTTCTCTCCACGGATACTGCTATACCTGCTCAATTTCTCCACCAATTTCTCTTCCTCTGTTTATTTCGGGTGTAGGTCGGTCTGCGGTGAAATTTGTGCTGAAGAAACAGGCTGCTGACTGCAAATGATGGATCTCTTCCCACCCCCATCATCCCAGGGGAAACTAAAGCAAAGCCATGGCGTCACCTTGATCATCGAGAAGCTGACATTTCAGTCGGCTCCTTCCATACCTGCCATTGTGATAGTCTCCGATGTAGCTACTGCCTGTGTACTCCATGGCTTCAGGGTACAACGCAGCATCATGGCAACGCCCTTTGACCTGACCATCCCCTTCAATAAAAACCAAAATGGGAAATCAATTCCTGATAACTTTTTTACACAGCTCAGAACAATTAATATTTTAATATGTGCACAAATAAATATGGTGAAAGCTAAAGGTGGAAGTTTAAACAAATTTGTCATTTAAAAGTTAGCCCGGTTATGGTTTAACCAAACTTGCTGGCCGCCATTGATTGGCAACCCGGTTGTCCAATTACCTGCAAGGTTATTGCACATGCCTGTCAGTACCGACCAATCACATGGGTTGTAGGCGCGGCTAAACGCAACGATCACGTTCGGTTGTGCAGGTATGGCACATGCGTGGTGCTGTGACCTTCTGCCGGCGGTTTGGGCCTAGGGCGACGCTGCGTCCTGTTCCTCGTCCCCGTTGGATGTGATAGGCAGGCCGGGCAGTGGGGAAATGGCCACGGTCGAGCTGCCGTCCTTGCAGGAGCTCAATGTGCAGGAAGTGAACGTGTCGTCGGCGGTGCTGAAGGCGGCCGCTCACCATTATGGCTCGCAGTGCGATAAGCCCAATAAGGAGTTCATGCTGTGCCGCTGGGAAGAGAAGGACCCCCGGAAATGTCTGCAGGAAGGGAAGAAGGTCAACGAGTGCGCGCTGGATTTCTTCAGGTACAGTAGCCACACCGAGCTGGGAGCTGACCGGCTCCCGCTGCTTTCCATCACGGCCTTCATCCACGGGCTGGATTTCTTGCCGCCTTCACTGTCCGTCAAAGTGGCATTGCAAATACAGCACTGTTTGGTCTCGAAGCCAAATTGTCTGACCATCGTTGAGATATTTGGATGTTGTCAGTCGAAAGTTGGCTTTCACTAGGAAATATTAATAAAAGATACAAAGCAAACGAAGTTTTTGTGCTAACGGATCAAATTCCAGCACCTTGGCAGTTTGTTCACAATGACACCCTTTTTTTAGACATGGTCACTCCACAGCTTAAGGTGGTGTAGTCAGGGAAGGAATGGATGACCATCAGTTAACAACGGAGGGAGCAGTTAGGAAAGCCCTAGAGTCTGTCTCAGTCAAGAACAGTTCTGTTCGAAAACAGTGAGTGTGATGGTTCCTTTAAGGCACGCAATCAGAGCTCAGCTGCTTAAGAGAAGACCTGACAGGGCAAGGGTTTTAGTGATAGTAGACTCGATGGTGAGGACTACAGACAAATCTCTCTGCGATTGCAGTCATGACTCCAGGGTGGTGTTCATTGGGGCCAGGATCAAGGATGTTTCTAACAGCTGTAGGGTAATCTAAAGTGAGAGGGTAAACATTTAGAGATAATTAACAAAAACAGAAATTGCTGAAAAAAGTTAGCAGTCTGGCAGCATCTGTGGCGAGAAATCAGGGTTAACATTTTGGGTCCAATGATCCTCCTTCAGAACCCTGTGTAAACTAGTTGGGCAGGTGAATGGGATACAGAACCGAGATAGAACAATGTGTGATGCACTGAAAAATGTCAAAAAGTCAAGTCAGTCTGGCAAGATGAGGATATGTAATCCAGTTGGGACACAAGTGAATTTGGCAAAATTGGATGGTATTTATTTTCATGCAATGTCTTGTGAATAAATTGAGGGTACTGATTAACATAGTTATGATGGCATTACTTTCACAGAGATAGGTTTGAGGGATGGACAGGAATAGCGGCTCCATATTCCAAGTGTAGAATCTTTAGGTGAGATGGGAAGGAGTGTAAAAGAGGACGTAGTGTCGCAGTATTGATGAGGGAGTCAATTATTGCAATAAGGTGGGATGCTATCTTGGGTTTCTCAGTTGAGGCCAGATGGGTAGAACTTAAACAAAAAGGGAGCAGCCCTAATGTTGCAACAGTTCTATCCACCCCCCAAAACAATCAGGAAGAGAGAGAGAAGAATAGATATGTAGGCAAATATCAAAGTGTAAAAAGAATTGATTTCAACTTCCCCAGTGTTGGCTGGGCTATGCAAAGTGTGAAAGGTTTAGTTGGGGTGGAATTTTTGGTGTATCCAGGAGAATTTTTAAAAGCCAGCATGTAGAAAATCCTATAAGGAACAGTCTATGTTGGATCAGATTTGGGTAAACAAAGCCAGGCAAGTGGTAGAACTGTCAGTGGCCAAGTATTTTGGTGATAGAGACCAATACTCAGTTAGACTTCAGGTAGTTGTGGGAAAGGACAGAGATGGACCTGAAATAAAAAATTTGAATTGAGGATAACTGAACTTAATATAATAAGACAGGACTGACAAAAATGGATTGGGAGTAGCTGCTGGAAGGAAAATCTACATCAGAGCAGTTGGAATCTTTCAAAAGGAAAAAGTGAAATTGCAGGGTCAACAGCTTCCTGGAAAGATGTAGCGTGGGACCAAAATGCCAGAGAACCCTGGATATCAAGGAATGTACAGGATTGGATAAGGGAAAAAAAATAGGAAACTTATGAGAGATACTGAAGGCTCCTCGGAGGATTCGATCGGCCGAATGGCCTGCTTCCACACTGTAGGGATTCTATGATTCTAAAAAATGGGTAGGCAAATGAGGGGATTATTGATAGTAGGCCAGGACAGGAGAGAAGCTGAATAGATTATAATGAGAGCCGAGATTAGGAGAGAATGTGTAGGCTATGCTGAAAGCAACCCTCGTCATGACAGGAGCGGGGTGTGGGGATTGGTAACAAACATGGAAGAATGGTCTTAGGCTCTAACGTTATTGAACTGAGTGTTCAGTCCTTGAAACCGCATGGTCTCCAAACTGAAAATGAGATGCTGTTCTTCAAGTTTATGCAGATGCTTGCTGCAACACTACAGATCACCAACAGGAATGTTGGCGTGGGAACATGCTGGTGTATTGAAGTGGCACCAATGCAAAACTCTGTCATTTTTACAGGCTTAATGTAGGTGTCTGCAAACTGGTCACCCAGTCCACATTTCCTCTCTCCAGGTAGAAGAGACCATAATGTGAACAGCGTATTCAGTAGGTTAGATTGAATGAAGTGCAGCTAAATCGGTGATTCATTTGGATAATGGAGTCTTGGGCCTTGGTTAATGAGGAGGGAGGAGATAACTGGACAAGCATTGCATCTTCTGGAAGTGCATGGGAAAGTGCCATTTCGGCGTGTGATGTGTTGGTTCTGGTGGATGAGTGGACCAAGGTTTCCCAGAGGGAATGAGCATAGCAGAGTGCTGACAAAGAAAGGGAATATGTGTCTAGTCATGGCATCCCTCTGGAACTGATGGAAAAGGCGGCTTATGATCCTGTTATGTTTTAGACACAGCCCCTCAGGAGAACGGAATTAGCTACAATAGTGACATTTTTATATTTTCGGCATCTGTCCAATCATCGTCTGTTCCGTGAGTGAGGTTAGCACTTTTGTGCTGCAAATCTACATTAAACAGCATGGACTGAGTTTAGTTAAACTAATTTCAGGGACAGCCTATAGAACTAGAAGACAAGAACTTTTGTTCAGCCAGGACTGAATTCAGACCTGGTCCCAAATGTGAAAGACTAACTACTCGGCTGAGTTCTCCGTAGTGAAAATTTTTTTGTTGTTTTTCCTGAGGTTTATGTTTTCCTCACTTTTGTTACTGTAGTTGGAGTCTAGGTTTTTATCATGATAGAATGAGTTATGTTGAGTTTAAATCATCTCTTAATTTAAAAAAAAATTGAACAAGTTTAGTACATCCAGCTTGACCATGCACAGCATTGAACTATGTCTGACATGATATTAAGTCCTGTTTTATTGATAGACTGATTATGCAGTAAATAGTGACTGACAGTTAACTATCAACCTGTGTCCGGATACATAACTTCCTGAATGCGCAGTTGTGCTATGCAGTGAGTCGGACTGATGATCCTAAATCAGTAATGTGGTATATGAATTTCTGTGCTAGTGTGATATTGGTTTGGACAACATTTGCTCGTTAATCCTGAGTGTGCAAAGAATTAGGTTGGTGCTCGGTGAGAATCAATTTTGCAGCATCAAGGCCATGCCTGAGCTAATGTGCCTGGCTTAAAATTTAAATAAAGCAGAACTAGCAGTCATCATCTAACTGTTCTCTATGGCAACGTCTCTACCATTCAAATCCACTTGCCAATGAATTAACACCGACTTCATCCATAACAGCATTAAATATTGTTTTCCTTTTTTTTAAAGTAATACTCGTTCTGTAGTGATATTTGTTTAATTTTATTACCATTCTGGAAAAAATGTTCTCACCAAACTGTTTACTTCCAGAGCAGATAGGGCTTAAACTTGGGTCTTCAGGCTTAGTGGTTTGGACACTACCTCTGCACAATAAGAGACCCCTTTTGTTACCATTTTATGCTATTTATTTATATCAAATTGTAGTTGATTACAATGCAATTTAAAAATACATAGTGCACAGGACGGTAAGTGAAGATAATTGCACGGCATGCTACAAGACTAAGTGACAAACTTTATAAGGCATGTGAAAATTGTTTGGACCATTATGATAAATTTTGCATTTGGCCGACTTCCCACTGTCTTTTTTTTTTCTCTGTCCATTGCAACATGTTTACTGTTATTTTTCTATTATTGAAGGATTTTGTAGAAGTGTCTTGATGTCTTGTTTTCATCAGGAACAGAATTGATGCTTGGAAATATTTTTCTCCTAGGAAGATAAAAACTCACTGCAGTGAGCCCTTCACAGAGTACTGGACATGCCTTGATTATAGCAATCTGCAGGAGTTCCGTCGATGCCGCAAACAACAAGATGCTTTTGATAACTGTGTGCTAGACAAACTAGGTTGGGTTCGACCAGACCTAGGAGAACTCTCAAAGGTAAAGCTGGTTATTTAACCTTTCCCAAATGCTGAGAGTTTAATACAGTTAGAATATGTTTGAAGTCCATGGAGTTGTATTTTAAAGTGTATTTGACATCAGGATGTCTCCAGAACTTTTACAGTTGAAGTGTTATGTAGACAAAGGCAGCAGCTAGGTATCACAACTAGTTCATCTTTTGAAGATGTTCTTGAGATGCAAGTGTTCACTTGATACAGGAGCAGCCTCACTCTTGTTCAAATAATCTTCTGGACTTTTTAACTGTACCTGAGCAGGCATTGGTTTAATCTCTTGTGAAAGATAGCACCTTTGCTAATGCAATATTTCATTACTATAGAAATGAAAGAGCTGTCCTTGGCAGTATACTTTTAAAAACTAGCGTTGCCAGTGATCCAAATTACACTAAGGTTTTTACTCAGGATCATAGCAAAATATTCCATCAAATAGCCTTTTTCACTAATTGATCTCCTAAAGTTGTGCATTGTACCTCTGATAATCTCCTGACATGAATTGATTCTGTTTCTTAAATACTCAGGGCTATTG